GTGCGCAAAAAGGACGTGCGTGCGTGGGCGGGTGTGTGTGTGTGTGTGTGTGTGTGTGTGTGTGTCTCTGTGTGTGTGTGTGTGTGTGTGTGCGCGCGCTCTGCTCGGTGTGCTCTGCTCGGTGTGCACTGCTCGGCTGAAGCCAAGGTTTGCTGCCATCGGCCTCAAAAGGTTCAAAGGCAAAACCTGGCAAACCCCTGAGCCCAAACGCTGCGCTTCATGTCTTGATGCTGGTGTGCCTCCCATGCTAAAAGTGCGACCTGGCACAGGCTCTGCTAGTGGAGCCTGTTGAACCCTCGGCGGAGCCCTCGGCGGAGCACTCGGTGTGGAGAAGTGTTTGGAGAGCTAGTGAGAGCGAACAGACGAGTATGACGAGTTGCATCTGAGAGAGAGCGGGAGAGGACGGGGATGCACCCACCCGGAAAAACCGCGAGGAGAGCACGCCACCCACCCACTCATGTCACACCAGCAGGCGCTCCTTCCCTTTCGACATGCTTGCTTGCTGGAAAGAAGGAAGGAGGCAGGAAGGGAGGGACGAAGGAAGGAAGGAGCGTGGGTAAAAGGGCCACCCAACCTCCAGAAACAATGCCCTCCCCCTTGATCTACCAGTGTCTTCTGATCTTAAGACTCGCAGACGTTGTGCCAGTGGCAAAGACTACTTGGCTTTCATTATTTAACGCTGCGCCGCCCCGGCCGGAGCCTGCCCAGCGGCTTCAGGGCTTGGGGAACAAGTCCTTGAAGAGTAGCGAATCCTGCGGATAGAGAGGCAACCATCAACTCCATGGCGCTTCCAAAATAACGCGACAAGCTCTGCTTGAAGAACTTGAGAAGTCCGGAGTTTTGCAGTCCATTCGAGTGGACGCTTGGAGGGGTGCATTCCAGAAACAAAGGACGCAGAAGGAATCGGCCAAACGGCGTTCTGGGTTTGTTTTTCTTCTGATGCACCGTCCGCTCCCGGACACCGGTCGGAAAGGGGGGGGTACCCATTCCAAGCAGGTGTGTTAGGTGTGTCCGAGGCCTGGGCGGCTTTTCTTCGACGCTTGACGTGTGCGTAGAAGCACAACAGTGATGGCAATGTTGCTGGGAACTGTTGCTCGAATGGTTGGTTCCTAGATTCGACTGGCCCCCTGTCAACGAGCATGACCAGGTTCAATCTATGATGCCCCCCCCCCCCCCTAATAATAGGTGGATGGGGGGGTTACCCCCCACGGCACCTATTTAGAATAGGCGGGGCGCCTATTTGGGGTAGGGTGGGGGACCGTAACAAAAAATAGGTGGCGCAGTATGTTTTCGGAGGTCTACCGCCTATTTCTGTAAACGCTAATAAACCGGGCTCGATCTGATAGAACATTGAGAAAAATTAAGGAAATGCACTGTGTGTGTGTGGCCTGTCCGAACACAAACTGCAGGCCCAAATAACTCATCTCTCTCTCCCTCTCTCTCTCTTTCTCTCTTTCTCTCTCTCTCTCTCTCCTCATCTCTTTCCCTCTGTGTGTTCGTCTTATGTCAGGTAGCACACCAACACTGACTGTGCGTGTGGTCCCCCCCCCCCCCCGAACCACCCCCCCTCCAGAAACAGGCAGCCGCCTATTAGGTCCCCCCCCCCCCAATTTCCCCCCCCCCCCCCCACCCCCCCCCCCCCACCCCCCCCCCCCCCCCCCCCCCCCACCCCCCCCCCCCCCACCCCCCCCACCCCCCCCCCCCCCCCACCCCCCCCCCCCCACCCCCCCCCCCTTAGGGGGTGGGCATATCTATGAAGTCAAAAGGCCTGGGGAACCAAGAGCCATCGAGTTTCCAAACGCGAGTCACGGTTCCATGAACTTGGCCCCTGTTGGATGATCACGGCCCCTTTATAGTTGAGCTTGTCAGTTGGTGGTGTTGTGGGACTAAGTCTTGTTGCAGGCAATCATGTGGGAGATGGGGGCATGACTACAGAGCAGTACTCACCACCCAAAGTCTGAGATCAACATGTGGATTAGAGTCAAGAAAGCGTGCTGGAGTTCCTCCCGAACTGCAGAATCTCTTGAGGTGCAGAAAGCAGAAACGGCGTCGAACCCAAGCCTCATGGAGCTTCGCCGGAACTTCTCAGCCGTTGCCTCGGTCCACCTCCATCCACGAAACCTTGAACCTTCATCCTGCACTAAAATCTCTAAAGCGCAGAGCTCTGTCTGACTCTGACTCTTCCAACTTAGTTAACTTTCCGACTGCTGCTTTTCCCGATGATGGTGGGCCGTGGGGGTCATGCGTTCTTGAAATGAAAGCGTGTTCTCAACCACAAGCCCCAAGAGCGGTCCCGAAAGTTCTCCAGACATTTCTTTACTTTGCGGGTCCCATTTTGGGTCACATTGTGAGGCACTGAAGCAGAGCCACAGCCTCTTGCAGAGGAAGGCGTGGGAGCAAAACAAAGACTGGCATTCTCTGGGGTGGGCTTTATGAGTGTTCTGGTCACTCCTTCAGTGGGCTTCGATTTCGGCTCTTCCGTGCGGCCTCTCTGTGCAAGGTCGGCAAGATTTCCAGGGCAGCCGCAGAGGCCCCTCCATTGCAGAGGTGTTTGTTTGTTTGCCTCAGAGAGTCTTGAAGTCTTGAAGCCAGGATCTGCAGTAAGGATGTAAAGGGTTCCGGATCTCCACAATCAAGGCCCCTGAAGGATCCTTTGGTGCTTGTGGTTGGGCAGCTTGCGGTCTGCGCTAAGGTGAGAAGGAATACCGACCAAGCTGCGCAGCTGCTGCGGCTCAGAAAGTGATCTGGGCCTGGATGCAATTCACACGTGCGGCTGGGTGCTTGGCGTTGCTAGCTTGTCTGAATCCTTATATCCAAGACCGGATCGAACTACTCACTTTTATTACTCGTGACTAGTAGATTAGTATAACCACCACGGCCACCACGGCCACCTGGATCTCGGACACTGAAAAAGGACAAGAAGCAACTTCGAAGAAGTTGCTGTGTCCTCAAAGCTGGGAGTCCTCGGATTCAGAGAAAAGGGGAACGAATGTGGAAGGTGCAGCGCGAAGCTACCAAGATCAAAACTGGTGCAAATGCTGCACCGGTACCAGTTTTTCACTTGCGAATCCAGGGGTCAGGAATTGAGGAGATACGGGTGTCTCACTGTCTTGCAGATCGGGGGTTTTGGCATGTTCTGGCACATGACCCAATGCATCGCAACGGGGGACGGGGACGTGAACGATCGCGAACGCATCTGAGCATTTCGAACGGCACGTGTCTCTCAATGTTTGCCTTTCCCGTTGGTAGCAAGGAGCCGAAAACGCCCAAGTGGTTGTTTGATGGACGAGAACTACAGTTATGAGTTATGAGTTTGGGCTAGAAGAAGCCACGGACCTCAAAGTACAGTTACTGGGCGAAACATACATTTCGTGGTCGTAGAGTCTGTGTATAATTGTGGGTCATGGGGCCGCAGCCGTCGCTTCCGTGCTCGAGCAGAAAAACATGTGCTTTAGCTGCCTCTCCGCTTCCCTCCAACTTAGCAGTGCAACAGACTCTTAGCTGAGACCACACAGTCATTGAAGCACTCTTTCAGAAGTGTTCGAGCTCCGGCGAAGGGTTGCCTCAAGCCATCTCCAGCCATGCGCGCATGTTGCAGTTTGGAGGAGGTCTGCCAGTCGACTCAGAGCTATTGCCAATGCTGCCGATGTGCCAGAACCATCAGAACCTTTGCAGGACCTGCATGAGCACTTGCGTGACAAGGCTGATCGCATGGGAGCGGGCTTTGCAACTGGTAATCAGGGACGACAGGAGGGACAACACTTCAGACGCCTTGGACTGCGGCGTGTAATTCATTGTAGTGAACAACGTAATTAGATGCCGAACAATGTCACCAGATGCCGGGTTGTGCAGGTCTGGGATGCCTACGATGCAGTTAAGCAGGCCGTCGGAATGTGTTGAACACGTGAGCCGATTTGACCAATGTCACAGACATGTCCTGGAGGTCCCAACAGTCCTGAAGGCCTTTGCTCTCTGTGTGTGGGTGGCAAGGTGTAGGTTCACTTCAGTGCCTGGTCAGGTTCCTGGCATACTTCTAGGCATTGGGATGTTTTGGCAAAGCCCCGTCCCCGGCGTCGCACACGCGCAGCTTCACGCAGTCTCGGTTCTGTGTGAAAACTTGGCCGAGGTCCCTTGTGGGTAGAGCTCCTGCCGGACACTAAGTTTTGGGTTCCAAGCCCTAAACTCTAAAGCAGGGGATTGCGTGGACTCATTCCCAGGATTGCAGTTCTGGTGATGTCCATGCGCGGACAGGTTGGATCGGTGAAACAGCGCCTGAAAGCTGTCTTGGAGGTGCACGCAAGCACTTTGGTCGGTGATGCTTAGACCTGTGAATCACGCCCACTAGGATCCGATTGACAGAGTTGAAGTGGAGCAGGCGGATTGGTCTTCATGTTGTTGCAAACCCTGGGGACGACTCCCCTTCTGCAGCTGATGGACTTGCAGGGAGTTGGCCACCTCGCGTTCGATGTCTTCCCAGCAGCATCCTGAGTTGACGGCGTTGCCGGTCTCATTTGCTTGTTCCTTGAGCTCCCATTTCAGCATGTAACTGGGGCAAGGCATCGAACTGTAGCTGCTTCATAAACCAAAAGTTCTCAGAAGCTACGATTCAGAAAATTCCTGCTTCAGAAGCTACCCTGCTTCAGAAACGATCCGCTTCAGAAACTACCCCGCTTCAGAAGCTAACTGCTTCAGAAATCAACGCGCTGCAAACCAATTCAGATCGGGTGCCGTGGGGTGGGGAGGTCGCCTCGACCGCCCTGCATGGTGTCCGGATCAGTTTTTTCCGCGTTGGGTATCGGAGCCACTTCGTCTCTGAATCATCTTTCCGGAGCATAGTTTCTCAATTGTTCGGTGACCACTTGTTTGCCAGGTCACTACGCGAGGTGACGTCCTGGCGATCACCAAAGTTGGTGGCCACCACACTTTGCTGGTACTGGAGAGGCTGGTTGCCAAAGCGCAAGGCAAACGAGTTTTCTTCTTGCGTTCCATTGAGACCGTTGATGCTCGCCAACAACGTGGCCTTCATCAAAACTGTTGAGCTTGGTGCCAAGACTTTGCAAGCATTCGCTTCTGCTTGTGTGATGTGGGAAGGCTCCCCCACACTAACCCCCCACCCCGCTGAGATGTAACCTGAGCGTTAGTTTTTTTGTGAGGCACACATGTGTTGGTATTGGACACAACTGCCAAGCTGATCTGCAGATCTTCACCCACCCCTCAGTCCAAGAGACTCTGGTCCCCGGACTCTGCCAGGAATCCGCCCCTTACTAAGAACGCTAACACCGTTTGAGAGTTACGGGGGTGGGACACCTAGTGCTGCGCGTTTCGTTCCTGAGGATAACGGGCGAGTACCGGAATTACAAGATGGGTGTGCAGGCTCTCGCCCTGAAGGCTTGCGGCGCCGGAGCCATCGTCCAAAGCATCCTGAGCAATTGTGCAGGATGGGGAACTGTTCCGCATTGGCAGCGACGGGGTTCTTGACGGCGAGTGGGAGGCGGACGAGACCTCAGTACCATCTTGCGTGCAAGTAGAACGCAGCTGTGGAGTTAAGTAGCACATTTTGGGCAGGTGTACTTGCTGAAGTAGAAGCCAGGTGTTTTTATCAGCCATGGTTTATCCTGGCACATGGCTGGGTCATGGCCGAGACCAGTAGCTCAAATGAGCGCTTTCGGATTGGGGGGGAGCCGTCGCCCAAGTTTATGCCCGCCAGACGCGTCGGTCTGCACGCGTGACGCATGTCCTCCCAGACTCATTCATCACGGGAGGGTGAAGCCATGCACCAAGCATATCGTGCGACAGCGACCTGTCAGTCCAAAAGGCTCCAACTCCTGGCTGAAGTGTTTGATGGGTCAACCCCCCCCACGTCCTCACAAAAAGAGATCGCCCAAGAAGTTCTCGAATAAGTTATATGCGCGCGGGGCTTCGTCCTGTTGAACCCGTGTCGACCAACTGGTAAATCCGTAGTTTTTTTAGCTCTGCCAGCGGTGCCCCGGAACTGAACTTCATTGATGTCCCTGAAGGGTGGAACTATGTGCCAGCCATGGCATCATGCGTCGATCGATCAAAGAGCGTGTGAGAGGTCTAGGGTGCTAGACAGGGTGTGGCACGGATTGGTCACTCAGCGGACGGCCAGCGATCGCGCACTTATATTTCGGGACTACCCTAACACGGCCCCAAAATGCAGCACGTCGTGACAACATCAACTGCCAGCGCGCAGCAGATTGTTTGTTCCACGCCAAGTGTTGCAGTTCACTACGACAGCCTGGTATCGAAATGGCAGCCAAAGTTGCGCCCAGCCTGTTAGAGGTGAAATGCTCACCTTCAACACGTGCGAACCACCCTTCAGGCCAAAAGAGCGCAAGCGAGCGAAGTTTCCTTCCGTCAGCTGCAAACAGACAAGTGTGCGCGGTCTTCAAAACCTCGAGCGTTGGCCAAAGCTGCAGGATCCAAACAGATGCATGTGTGCTTGTGGCGCCAGCGGTCAAAACGGACTGAGGCGCGCACGCAGAGCTGGTGGTAGATTCCATGTTTGTAATTAGCAAGCAGTCTGATATGGTGTGGCCACATATGGTCACCTTCCATTCGCTGCCAGCGCAATCTCGTGCACTCCCGCGTAAAAGCTGCTGTCCGAAATCAAACTCAAAAGGACCGTGCTGCACGGCCCACCTTTTGAAGGACCCGCCAAAAAAGCACGTCAAGCACGTATGCTGTAGCAACATGTTGAGCTGCGTGCAGTGTCTCTCACCTGTCGGTCTTGTCGCGATTTGTTCGTGGAATCCTTCGGACAAGCAGCTCTGAGCTTGTAGTCATGTGTCCGCGCTTGTATTACATTCTTGCATCAGCCATCTTCCAGTCCACAGGCGGAGATATGGCATCAGCCATGGCATCTGGGTGATGCCATCTTTGAGGAGGCTTTGGAGCAGATCTTTTTGTTTTTGGGCGTTTGGGCCTTAGGTTCTCATAAGCTTATTCGAAGCTACGCAAGGCCCTGGAGACGGCCCTCAGCCAGCCTGGTGATTGGGCACGGGGCACGGCATTGTGGGCAATGGCGGCAGCACCCTTTGCCTTCGTACGTTCCCGATTGCACCTAGCCTTGACGACGTTGTGTTTTGGCATACCTTTCGAAAGTCGCAGGTGCTGGCAGGTTGTGTGGGATGGAGTTGCATTGGCGGGGATAACTCTCAGTGTCGAGCTTCCACTCTGACCCCAACTGGAGAACAGATCGAACCAAAACCTGGTATAGACTACCTTGGCTCGGTTATTACCCATGGCTGGCCATGAACTTGGTCGGGGATGACCTTGTTTAACCGAAGGGGCATGGGCGTGTGTGAATTGAAATACTCAAGATCCACGCTCCTGAGCTTGTTCTCTATGTTGAAAGCGCATGTCCCGTTGAGGAACTGGCTTGAAGTTCCATCTCCCTCGGAAATACAGCAGCAGTGGCAGCCATGCACCTGGGTCGAGATACCGCGTGATACCGCTCATGTGGTCGTTGAGGGTAAAGAAAATTCAGGTGCACCCCATCTGCACCACCTTGATTATTCGGGTGCACCAGCTTGGCCTTCAGATCAAGTCCAAGTTCCGAGTCATCTTCACAACAGTTGCTCCGCGTGGGCCATCCGTGTCTGCTTTGCTTGAGGTACGTGGCGATGAATGGGAGCACGGAGATATTCCCACGCGTTTCTGCAACTTGGGAAAAAATCTAGAGCTTTGCGATCCTTGTTGTTTTGCTTTCTTTTTTCTGTGAGACCTGATGCATATGAGGGTTTCAGGGGGGCCCCTCCCAGCGGTCCCTCCCTCTGGAACGACCCCCTGCCCCCACCCCCACGCCCGGCCCAAGGTCCGATTCGCTTTGTCTGTCCTTTTCGGTTCGCACTCGCAAGACTCACAAGCAGGCCCAGATCCAACAAGGTGCATTTGCCAACCATCGTTCCCGGTGTCTAGCTGTCTTTGCCATTGTTCAAATTTGGGTTTGGGGTTTGAGCTGGATTAGCGTTGGACAACCTGCGGCCCTGTTCATTTACGTTGCTCTCGTTCCGACTCAGCCAAGTCGCTGCAAAAGTTCATGAACATTAGGTTCGGTGTCGCTGAGGCAGATGGATGCCTTCCAGTCATCCTCAAGCAGGAACTACAGCGGTACAGCGCTCGACTGTTGCGATTTCGATCTGCAGGGTATAGTTGGTTGACGGTTGAGTATGAACCCTAAACCCTAGGCCCTAGTTTTGCTTGACCAAGGCTTGGCTTCACAGTGACCGGTGAGTAGGCTGTGGCCAGCTGCTGTCGTTGCTAGAGCGTGGGGGTTTAGGACAGATCTGAGCAGGGGTCAAAATTCCCATCTCATCGCTTATGAGTGGGTGGTTGTTGAGCATGATGTCTAGCATAGTGTAAACCATGTAAAACGACACGGTGCGCTCAAGAAACGATAGATACCCTGAGTATGGAGTCTTGCCACTGTGAAACGATACAGTACACGCTAATTCCCGGACATAGCAGGCATGAGCAATTTTGACGCCAGCTCATTTCATGCTGTAAATAATACTTCCAACGCGGTCTAGGACTGCGAGGATGGACACAAAGGAGGTTTGAATCATTTCCACATCCATCCTTTCCCGCTTGGCCTGCGACCGCGCAGCCGACGCATGGCCTGTGCAAGTGCCAGGCGTTGAATTCGTTTCTGAAGTGGGTGGCATAGTTCCGCTCAGCACGTTGAACAAGCAGTGTCGGAAGAAGCTCATATACAACCTTGTGGCAAGCTTGTCGGTTCGCTGCTTGTGGCTGAGAAGTGGGTTAGCTATTGACCTGGGCTTGGGCCAAAAAGCAGGCGTCATGAGGCACGCTTGAACTTAGAACTCCGTGTTGAATGTGTTGGGTGTTGGACTTGTTGTTCAGATCGATCATGCGCGCTCGCAGCCATGTTTCTGTTGAGAGCAATTGCACTATGTAGACACCATGTAGTCCAGCCTGCCAGCCTGTGTTTAGTGGCACTTGTTGTTACAGGAAGAGAAGCAAACAAGCATGGGGTGACCGAAAAGAGCTCTTAGGTGGCTCTGCGGACGCCGTCATGTCTGAAGGCCGGCACCTGCAGCTGGTTTCGCCTTGTGAGTTTCAGTGAAGATGATTGCTCACTGACTCACTGCATTTTGCTGCTACACTGTTTGTTTTCCGTTTGAGGAGGGCGTCTCTCTCTCTCTCTTTCTCTCTGTGATTGTTTTTTTCTCTCTCTCTCTCTCTCTCTCTCTTCTCTCTCTCGCTCCCACTCACTTCACGCTCACTCCACTCACTCCTCATTCACTCATTCAATCAGTCACTCACTCAGTAGCTCCGCTCACTCCACTCACTTCATCCGCTCACTCCCCTCACGCCACTCACTCACTGATTCACTCACTGACTCACGCTGACTCAGTCACGCACTCAAGAGCTACCTAGCTTGGATTGCTCCAGCTGCTGAGACACAAACAGCTGTTGTGCAAGGCTGTTTTGACGCCTTCGAGCAGGCTGTAGCCCCAGCCGCTTGTCATCTTTGAACTTCACCTTATGCGACAAGAGATGCTGCCGAGGTCATCAAGAAAGTGTTTCCTTGGCTGAGGAAGGCCGGTTCCACTACTCAACATGCTAGAACTAGCCTTTACTGAGTGGCGAGCAGAGTCATTCTTCTGGTTTAATGTTTGTTGCTTTGTTCTGTTGCTACTTACAAAGTTCCTTCACTCAGAAATGACACAGTCTGTGCTTTGGAGTCTTACATCTCAAAGCAAGACCCAAAGCCCGCGAAATCCATGAGGCGGGCCTTCGAGCTTCGTTTGAGCCGCGCCCGCCCTTCTGCTGCATATCATTTTGTCGGGATTCGTGGAGACGACAAGATTCGACCTGTGTGCAGAGAGAATGACTGACCTCACGAGGCCTGTCCCCTTCACGCCTGAGTGCCCAACAGCAGACGAAGGCCAGTTGCTTAGTTTGGCCCAGGATACGATGAGGACCCCAATCGAAATCGCATGGGGGGGGGGGGGGGGGCGGCGCATTATTTGTTGTCATTGCTTGGATACTCCACCCTTCCTATTGTCAGAACCGAACCCCCCAAAAAAGGGTATTGGGAGGTTGCACTCTGCTCTCCCATTTTAAGTCCTTATTGAAACTCAAACCCCCCCCCCCCCACTCCGGAGGCACTCATTTCCGCCGACGGCCAGCCCCAGAAATGGGTGGCGGGGTACTCTACTCACCCTCTCTCAGTCTCTCCCTCTCTCTCTCTCTCTCTCTCTCTCTCCCTCTCTTTCTTATACTGCTTATGAAGACCCAAGCCCAGCCCCTCCTCAGGCACCTATCTGACAGACGGCTACACACAGCTAAAGAACAAACAATATCAGGGAAAGAGCTTGTTGTAGCCTGGAAATGCTCGAAAATAGGTGCCTGGCTAGGGTTGAATAGAGCTGCCCACCCAGTTTCCTGGGGCGAGATCAGAAGCAGCTGCAAGAGTTCTTAGGAACTGCCAACTGCAGGACATGCCCAGGCGGGTCTACGCAGACCTACGCCCTGCAGGGAATATGCTTTCCAAGCATCACGGTTATATATATATATATATATATATATGCTCACCCCCCCCCCCCCTCGACAGATGCCGGAAGCAAAAAAAGGGCTGAGGGCGCGACGGACAGCATAGCTGCACACAGTAGCCAGACACGTTAACACACAATAGAGCATATTTTTTTCGATTAGTACGGTTTTGTGTTCGCAATGAAAGATGCAGACAGATGTGAGAAGGACGCATGCTGTAAGGACCTGAACAATTTGCTCGACATCGTGGATTGCTATTAATTTTTAATAAGATTGCTCTTAGTTTTACTTGGGTTCCTATTAAATTTGTTAGGATTCATAGGCTTCGTATGAGTTCAATAGGAATCCTATTTAAATCAATAGGAACCCCATTAAAATGAATGAGAACCCTATTGAAATTAAGACGAGTCTTTTTTGAAAACTTAGTAAGAATCCTAGTACAATTATAAGAACCTGGTTGAAATACGTACAAGCTCCTATTAAAATTTCTTGGCGTCCTAAATTCAGAAAAACCATAGGAAGGCCATTCAAATGAATAGGAACCCTTTTGAATTCATAGGAATGCTCTTAAAATTAATAGGAACCCTGCAAAAGAATCTATGAATTCTTTTTAAGAGTAACAGGAATCCGTTTAACATGAAGATTAATCCTATTAAAGGATTAAGAGGAGCCAATAAAATTCTATAACAAAAGTAATGTGGACCCTTCAAAACTTAAAACAATAAGAATCGTACTGTTAGAATTATAATCAACCCTATTAAAACATTTAATGAATAGGATTGCTAATAACACAAATAAGAGTTACAATAACATTACTTCGAGTCCAATTGAAATGAATAGGGAACAGGATTTAAAAACATAATCGGAGCACTGTGGAATCTAGTAGGAATCCTATGAACATTATTAGGAATCCTGTCAACATGAATGAGAAACCCTGTTAAAATGAATACGAAGCCTATTCCAATTAATCAGAAGCCTTTTTAAATGCATAGGAAGATTGTTAAAGCAAAAGGAACCCAATTAGAAATTGTAAGACATCTTATGAAAATGAATAAGAAGCTTATTGAAATTCATAGGAATATGCAAAAAATTTGTTATGAAGCTTATTAAAATTCTAAGACTTTTATTAAAACTAACTAGGAAGAAGAATGCTATTACAATTACTCAGAATCGTATTCCAATTATTTGGCATCTGATTAAAATGAATAGGAATCAATATTAAACCCAATAAAGTCCTTTAATAGGCATCCTTTAAAATCTAATACGAACCCCATTAAACAAATACAGGAATCCCATTGAAGATCACTTAGAATGCTAGTAAAATGATTAGGAGGCTTATTCATTAAATAAGGACTCCCATTTTACAGTGAACAGGAGTATTATTAAATTTAATAGGCAGCCTAAAACATAATAAGGAATCATATAAGAACCCCTGAAAAACTCTTATAAAAAACCCAGTTTCTAAAAATCCCAAAATCCAAACATCCAAACATTCACCCCAAAGGTTTGGACTTTTGGAAACTCAAGCGGGAGCCTCAAAATCCAGAAATCGAGCAAATTCCTCGAGTTTCCAAAATTCCAAAAATCCAAAAACATCCACCCCAAGGTTTGGAGTTTTGGAAACTCGAGGAATTTGCTCGGTTTTTGGATTTTGAGGCTCCCGCTCGAGTTTCCAAAAATCCGAAACTTGGGTTGGAGTTTTTGGATTTTTTTTTGGAAACTCGAGGAGTTTCCTCAAAAACCAAAAATCGAGCAAATTCCTCGAGTTTCCAAAATTCCAAAAATCCAAAAACATCCACCCCAAGGTTTGGAATTTTGGAAACTCGAGGAATTTGCTCGATTTTTTGGTTTTGAGGCTCCCGCTCGAGTTTCCAAAAATCCGAAACTTGGGTTGGAGTTTTTGGAATTTTGGAATTTTGGAAACTCGAGGAATTTCCTCAAAATCCAAAATCGAGCAAATTCCTCGAGTTTCCAAAATTCCAAAAACCCAAAAAGATCCACCCCAAGGTTGGGAATTTTGGAAACTCGAGGAATTTGCTAGATTTTTTGAATTTTGAGGCTCCCGCTCGAGTTTCCAAACATCCAAACCTTGGGGTGGATTTTTTTGGATTTTTGGAATTTTGGAAACTCGAGGAATTTGCTCGGTTTTTGGATTTTGAGGCTCCCGCTCGAGTTTCCAAAAATCCAAACCTTGGGGTGGGTTTTTTTGGAATTTTGGAAACTCGAGGAATTTGCTCGGTTTTAGGATTTTGAGGCTCCCGCTCGAGTTTCCAAAAAGCGGAACCCTGGGTTGGATTTTTTGGATTTTTGGATTTTTGGAAACTCGAGGAATTTTGGAGTGGTGCCCCCCCCCCCCCCCTTCCTGAACAGACCGGAAATATATTTCCGGGGTCTGTCGAGGGGGGGGGGGTGACCATATATATATATAACTATTTATTTACTTATACATGTATATATATATATGCTCTTGCAAAAAGAAAAAGCGCTGCTAATTTGGGGGGTGGGGGTGGATCAGACCACTCTGCCAGAAAAGAATCTCAGGCATGAGATACCCTGAGGAGCTCATTTCCAGCCCCAGGTATGAACCATGGGCGGTATAGCATACATGATGCATGGCAGACACCGCAGATTTCAAACACCTTTGAGGAAGGGTGCGTGGGCGCAGTGCGACGTCGTAGCCATCCGTGTTCCCCATGCAGGCACAGACGGCACAGAACCAATCAAAACCATGGTGCCTGGGGAGAACGCCCCAATACGTGAAACAACGTATGTAGCAGAACCTCCCAGTAGCCCCGGGCTTGGCGCGTAGGTCCGCAAAGTATTGGTTCTGCCCCTCTCCTCCCCCTCTCCTCCCCCTCTCCTCCCCCTCTCCCCCCCCTCTCCCCCCCTCTCCTCCCCCTCTCCCCCCCCCTCCCCCCTCCCCCCCCTGCCCCCTCTCTCTCCCTCCCTCCACCCTCTTAGGGTATGCCAGCATTTCGTGTGCCGCTTGCCTATGCTTCAGGCACTGATGCAGCGCTGCGGCTCGGACTGCAGGTTTGAAACGTAGATCTTGGGCTGGCGCGAGGCTGGCATGAGTTGAAAGTTGAGATTCGCGGACCCAGGCCTTTCGATGGACACGATGTTTCCGTGCTCCATGACCGTGGTGACAGCGAGCAGGAGGCAGAGGCCAGCCGACGTGCGAGAATATCTCCACACAGCGTCATCCATTGAGTTTTGGCAGTTGTGGAGCCCACCATACGACGATGCTGAGCCATGGATGTGCGGTCTTTTCCTCCAGCCGCTTGACAGTTTCATGCAGAGTCGGTGTGTGCACTTTGCATGCGTGTTGCACTCTGCCTGCGTTCGCCCAGGATGCCTTTCTTTTGCGAAACCCCGAGAGCTGGCTCTGCGCACGAGGAGCAAACGGTGCTTGCTGGGTATGTTTCATGAACCTAATTGATTGACGTTTCGGTTCGTTTCGTGCACTGTATCGGTTTTCTGTTTCGGTTTTCGGTTCGGTTCCCATTCTGTTATTTTACCGTTTTGCGGTTTTTCTTTGCGGCTCCCGGCGGGATGGCGAGCTGCAACAATAATTCAACCATCGGTTGAAAAAAACAGTGGATTACACTACCAGTCTTCGGTCGTCTCTCAAGCCGAGCTCCAAAACGGCTGAAAAATAGGGTTTTCGATTATCTAGCGTTTTGGGGATAATAGATATATAACCAAACTATAAATGATATATGTCTCTTTCTCTGTCTCTTTCTCTTTATCTTTCTCTTTCTCTTTCTCTCTGTCTCTCTCTTCTCTCTCTTTTTCTTTCTCTTTCTCTCTCTCTCTCGCTCTCTTCTCTCTCTTTTTCTCCTCTCTCTCTCTCTCTTTTCTCTCTCTCTCTCTCTTTCATCTCTCTCTCTCTCTCTCGCTCTCTCTCTCTCTCTCTCTCTCTCTCTCTCTCTCCGTTTCGGTTATGTACGGTTCCAGGGCGGTTCGGTTTTGAGCTGCTTAGGTTCACAGACGGTTTAATATACGGTTCGGTTTGTCAGTTCTCGGGTCGGTTTATAGTCTTCTGGTCTTTTTAAGCAGGAGTGCGCGCCCTCAAAGCATGCGGCTGTTGTCGTGCAGAGCCCACTGCACTTTGGCTGGCTCATACAGTTGTCAGTGCTGGCCTGCTGTAAACTTGCTTCAGTTTGAAGCGGCTGCAATAGGAATACCACTGGATCTGCGCGGTAGTCTTGCTCAGTGCTTTAGGGCTAGGGGTCTGCTTGAAAACCAAGGTTGGCGATGCTTATATCGCAGTGCCTTCCAGCTGCTCAGGTTTATGTTTATCAAGCATGCCAAGTGCGGTACAGCAGCTGGACGGGACTGCTGGCTGGATCGATGTTTGGCAAGTACATCCATGTGCCTTAAGTCCAGGTGCAAGACTTTCTCGCTGTGCGATCAATATGCTCTGTGCTGTCCCAGACACGTGTTACTTGGCAGCCACATTGCGCGCCTTTCATCTCTGTGAGATTTGCAAGATTGGAATTGGAGGCTTTTCGGGAGTTGCTCAAGGTCCCAGTTCCAGCTGAGATGATGCAGTGGGCTCGCTACGGCCGCTACGGGCCCATGTCCGCTGAGCAGCTTGAGAAGATGTTCGGTCCTCGCAGTGAGAGAGCGAGGGCTGGATACCCGAGATTTATCAAATACTATGGACTGGACTGTAAGCCCCACCGTCGCAAGCTTCCGTTTCGCGACGACAGTTTCAAGTCCACGCGCGAGTGCTGGCCGCCAAGAATGAGAAGCATCCAAAGTTTCTTCAACTTCGAGTGTTGTACCATTCCAACCACCGGCTGCGATGACTTCATCGTCGCTTGACCGCTGCTGCAGTTATCGTAACTCCAACATTCCTGTGACAAAAATGACTGTTCTTGACTGGCTTCTTACGATCTCCCAGTTTCTCTTCTTTATGGGTTCTTAACAATATGGGGTTGAGTCTGATGCTGTGGGTTTGGGGTTGCATGCTTTCAAAATTTCTGGATGTCCAAAACCAACCGAGGCAAGCATGCAGGAGCTGAGTCACTGTCTTTTTACGAGGAGTTAAGTTAGGCTTGCGTGCAAGCTGTGGAATTGGCGTTAGGATGTAGTCATCGCGCAAGTCTTTCGCCTGCTGAGCTGCGCTGCCAAAGGCACAACAGGATGGGGCAATCAACCCGATGCAGGACCAAGTTTGGTGCGATGCCGAAAGAACTTCAGGATGATTGAGGGGCTGTTAGGCTTCAGTACAAACCCTTTCCCTGTAAGACTGCACAAGAGCTGCCAAATTCACAGACTGGGCTATGATACAAGGGGAGGAAACGAGCTTGCACAAACACGTGGTGCAGAGAATCCAATCAAGAGACGCTTCAGCCCGCACTGCGTAGCCCTAAGTTGGGGAATCCGTGCAATACCTAATCTCTATCACACACACATAATGCCTAAAGCTCGTCGGTAGTTTCGATTTCAGTTCATTGTCAGTTTTGTGTACCTATCTGATAAACCTGAGAGAAACCCCTGAACCCCTACACCCTAGACTCTAGTCCCGGTCAGTTATTTAGTCGTGAGTTCTTCTTTCCTCGCCCGAAGGGAGCGAGGCTTCGCATGTGCGCGGCGGTTGAAGCAGCAGCAGCAGCAGCAGCAGCAGCAGCAGCAGCAGCAGCAGCAGCAGCAGCAGCAGCAGCAGCAGCAGCAGCAGCAGCAGCAGCAGCAGCAGCAGCAGCAGCAGCAGCAGCAGCAGCTGAACTGGTCTTCCGTGCTGCACACACGGTGGGGGACATTGCCGGTAAGGCTTATTGAAGAAAATTCAATAAACATGAAGAATAAGAAATGATGACAATGGAAATAGCAATCTCTACAATAACCAAAACAATCATAGTGGCGATAGAGTGTTCTGTTGACTTGCATGTTTTCGTGAGGCCCTCATAGCCCCCCCTCCCCCCCCCCCGCTGTTGAACCTCATGCCCTCAATCCTGAACCCCAAGACCCTGCATCCTCATGAACCCTGAGCTTTGAGTCTTGTGGCCTGGAGGCTGCTCCTGTTTGCGGCCGTGGAGTCCGTACTTTCACTTCTACAGAATGTTGGGCCAGTGATCAAAAAAGCCTAAACCGAAACGTTGAAACAAACACCCTCATTCACCAGCATTAACTTGGCTGGCGGTAGTCGCCGTGGAAGAAATGCTTTGACGGTGGCAATATCATGCATTTTCTCGAGGGCGATGTTTGCAGGTTCATGACATTGAGATTCATGATTCGTGCCACTTCTACCCAGCCGGTCCGATGCTAGCAACTGCCTGGCGGGGTGGAGTGAGGTGGCTGGCGGTAGGATTGCCCGGCAGCAGATAACACAGAGAATTAGTTTCTCATAAGTTCCTCTCTCATGTCTTCCTCATTAAATATAGAGGAAAACTATGACGATATAGACAAAAAAAGAGAGAAATAGAGGCTTTCGTCATAAAATATAGAGAAATAGAGGTTTTCGCATTAACGTATAAAAAAAACTAGAGGTTTTCATAGTGAATGAAGAGAAAATAGAGGTTCTATATTGAAATATAGAGAAGAAAGAGGTTTTCCTATTTAAATATAGAGAAAATAGAGGTTTTCATAGTAAATATAGAGAAAACAGCAAAAACGCTCCGCACCCGCAGCAAAAAAAAAGAACGCGCCCCCACGGCACCCGCAATAGAAGAAAAAAAAGCGCCCCCGCACCCGCAGCAAAAAAGAAAACGCGCCCCCGCACCCGCAGCAAAGAAAAACGCCCCGCACCCGCAACAAAAAAACACCCGCAGCAAAAAACAAAACGCTCTTACCGGCATTTTCGATGCCTTTCGCAGTTCAGGAGACAAAAACTGGCTTCAGAAGGCTCAAATTGGCTTAAATGGGCTTCAGAAGGCCCAAATTGGCTTCAGAAGGCCCACATCATTGGCAGAAGGCACAAATTGGTTTCATACGGCTTAAAAATTGGCTTCAAAAGGCCCAAATTGGCTTCAAAAAACGCTTCTGTCCTCTGTGTCAGTTTCTTCAATTTACTTAAACCTCGCTTGTGTGCGTGTGCTCAATTTACTTAAACCCCCTTTGCCATCGGAATCCGAAGCCAGTTTTCTTTGCTTTTGCTGCAGTAGCTTTGCCAAATTTCGCCTTGGAAGCCAAACTCAAAATGCGCTGGCGCACACGGGCGAAGCCCTTAAGATTTAGGGAAGCGTGTAGCAAAGAGCGAGAGGAACAGAGAAAGAAACAGCCAACCCCAGCAACAACAACAACAACAGCCGGAGATTATGGACGGCATTTTCAATCTCTTGTTACCTCAAAGTGTCAGATAACAGGACTCCATGGCATATGACAATATGGATGATATGATAGAATTGCATACAGCAATGAAAACGCCAAGGTATTTGACCAGCTGCGCCACGGGAACGGATCCAAATTTAACTGTAGCGTTTTTAAAGCATGATACTGAAGGAGATGCAAGAGGCGGTTCAACTGAGTAAAGGAAGGAGACATCAATGTCATCTGCGCTTCCCAAATCCTTTAATTAAACGAGATGGCACTGCAAGAACTCCGACAGTTGTCTCACCAGGAGAAAAAAAGCAGTGCAAACCCAAGACCTGAAAACCTGTTCCCCCAGTCCCCTTATATACCCGAACCTCTTCAATGCAGGCCCAAAACCTCAAGCCTGCAAACTTCCAAAACATAGTTCTTGGAATCCCCAAACTTCCCAATTCATGACTGGGCTTACATCTTGAGCTGTGGAGCCACAACATTCACCATGACGCGCAGCCAATCTGCGTCGCACACCGTGTTGTTACGTTCTGGAGTGACTCCATGGTCTTCTGCTTGAACCAGTTTTGCAACGATTGGAGGTTTCCTCTGTTGATGTTGGGGTGCGTTAACTTGTCCATGCTGTGGCGCAGCGGCTTCGCTCAGAGCGCGACATGAATGCATTACCTCCCGACCCTGAGTGCAACTGGCATCGCAACTGATCACTACATATCTTGCCTTTGAAGAGGCGCTCGCGCATTGGTAGGCGAACCTCGCAGTGAAAGGAAGTTATGGATGATGCAGGCAAAAGCACTAGACTTGGCAAAATAAACCGAGTTTGAGATACTTTGACGCTTCTTTGACGTTTCTTGACGCCTGTGAGCCCACAAAGCCAGTCTGGCCAGCGGTGGAGGCACGTTCCTGCGGTTCTGCACTGCCCAACATCTCACCACATTCCCATCCACAACGTGCGAGGCCACCATGGGCGGAACCAGCTCGCAGCCGATCGATGTGCCTGGCCAAAAATGTGTGCCATCCCGTGGTCGTTCAGCATTCTCAGCGCCCAGGTTCGGGTAACCGACCGGAAGAGTCTCACCAAGGACTGCAGAGGGGCCACATGCCACACAACAGATTTCTTGCAGTCAGAACAATGAACCAAGCAACAACCTCTCGAGACAGGGACTATGATTATGTAGTCAGGTCAAGGTTCTCGTGGCAGAGAAGCCACCACCCCCATTGGCAGGAGCTGTGCCTCCGGCGCAAGGACTATGAGTCCATGCAGCACAGGTATTGTGCCACTTGGCTGCAAATACAATGGGCGCACAGAATGCGAATTTCACCGAGTGGCAGCGATGCAGGTAGAGGAGTTGACCAACAGCCAGGAAAATAGCAGGTCCAGGACCCTTTCGAATGGTGCACACGGGCAGCGTGAACCGTCAACGCACCTGGGAGGATTGCCCACCTCCTCCACCGAGCAGCGATCCGCGATCCCGAGATCTGCAAGGGCGGCGAGAACTCGCAGGTCTTCATGGAGGCCAATCTCCCTCAAATGACCCACTGTGGCACTGTGGCACTGCATTGTGGAACTGTGGCATTGTGGAACTGGGGCAGTGGCACTCAACAAACTTTGGATTCCCAAAAGAGGCGGGCATGCTGCCCTTGGTCATCTCTTTTCTTTTCGGAGGGGCGCTGATACGCTGCTTCGAGGCCCTTTAAGGAAGGCGCAAATGGGCAAGCAGCAGCACAGAGACCGAGCTGCTGCCTTCCAGGTGTGCCCGTTATGGTTCGTGATCTACTACAAGACCTTGGACCAGGCAGAGAGCTACGGTAGTCCGCGGTAGTCCCGGTACTCAAGCGCTGCTCATGGACGTTGTTGCCAGGTCTTTTCCAAGATCGACAAAGGCTTCAAACAGCACCCAGATCTTTATTGCTCCGCAACTCCTGAACTCCGGGCTCTATAGGGCCTGCTTAGAGGTACTATGGCCAGTCCCTCCATCTGGAGTATGCGCGCACAGACTGGTCTCCCGTACATGTCGCTGAGGCGGTCCCGACTAGAGATCGGCAGAGATGGGCATGGGTTGAATGCAGATTTCCTTTCCAGCGTCATGCAGAAAGGGCTCGAGGTCTTGCTAGGTTCTTTTCCAAGCAAAGGGGGCATCAGGCGAAATGATTTATCTCTGCCCTGTATCGCAGATTTCTGACGGGTAGTCTTGGTTTGAGGTGAGTTGTTATCAGTCTATGGTCGGTTGTTGAGAGTGCACAGCAGACTGATGAGTCAGATAAGCCCAGCAGTAGTACTTGCAACAGACGTAGTCAATGTTTGGTAGCTGAATTCCGACACTGGCGCTCTGCAATATGTTGTAATATGTCATCAGTCATCAGCTTGTCAAAAAAGTGACCTCCGCACAATGCTGTGCGCGGAGTGTTCCAAGCGTTGGAATGGAGCCACTGCCATCAGGGAGAGCTAGTCAAGGCCTTGAAGCAGTTAGATCAAAACGAGGGGCGACGGTTCGACTGGTCGTTTCTTGGCAAGTTCCGGTGCAGCGAGAAACCGTGTACCGGAGATGTCCACGAAGCAATTTCAC